CAGAGGATAGAATAAGTGACTTAGAAGACAAGGTAGGAAAAATCAATCAGAGCAGCAAAAAGAAAAAACACTTAAAAAGCATGAAGACAGTCTAAGGGAGCTTTGGGACAACATGAAGCAAAACAACATTCACATTATAGGAATGCCAGAGGGGAGGAAAGAGAGCAAGGGATAGAGAACTTGGTGGAGGAAATAATGACAGAAAACTTCCCTAGGCTGCTGAGTGAGAAAGCCCCACATGTTCAGGAAGCACAGAGGGTTCCAAACAAGAGGGACCCAAAGAGACCCACTCCAAGACACATCATAATTAAAATGGCAAATGTCAAGGACAAAGAGAAAATATTAAGGGCTGCAAGAGAGAGACAAGCAGTGATCTACAAGGCTGACAGCTGATTTTTCAACAGAAAATCTTCAGGCCAGAAGGGAGTGGCATGAATTTCTCAAAGTAATGAAAAGCAAGAACATGCAACCAAGATTGCTTTATCCAGCAAGGCTGTCATTTAAAATTGAAGGTGAAATAAAGAGCTTCTCAGACAAAAAAGGCTAAAGGAGTTCAGTATCACCAAACCAGCATTGCAGGAAATGCTAAAAGGACTGCTCTAAGAAACAGAAGGAATAGTGAGAGAAAGGTACATCAGCACAAAGGGGAAGAATGGCATTAAATAATTTACATCAATAGTAACCTTAAATGTAAACGGAATCAATGCTCCAATCAAGAGACATAGAGTAGCTGAATGGATAAGAAAACAGGACCCAAATATATGCTTTCTACAAGAGACCCACCTGAGAGCAAAAGATTCACACAGGCTAAAAGTGAAGAGATGAAAAAAAATATTCCATGCAAATGGAAAGGAAAAGGAATCTGGAGTAGCAATTCTTATTTGTGACAAATAGACTTCAAAATAAAGACCATAGCAAGAGACAAAAGTGGTTACTACATAATATAAAGGGATCCATCCAACAGGAGGAAATAACTCTTATAAACATTTATGCACCCAATATAGGAGCACATAAATATATAAAAAATCTCTTGGTTGACTTTAAGGGGGAGATTGACAGCAACACAATGATAGTGGGGGACTTTAACACCCCACTGTCAGCACTGGACAGTTCATCAAGACAAAAAATCAACACGGAAACACAGACCTTAAATGACTCCCTAGACCTAATGGATTTCATTGACATCCCTGAATTACAGAACATTTCATCCCAAAGCAGCAGAATACACCTTCTTCTCAAGTGCAGATGGAACATTCTCAAAAATAGATCATATGTTAGGGCACAAGACAAGTCTCTACATATACAAGAAGGTTGAACTCATATCAAGCATCTTCTCAGATTACAGTGCCATGAAACTAGTAATCAACCACTATAAAAAAACTCAAAAATAGTCAAACACATAGAATCTAAATAACATGGTATTAAACAATAACATGCTTTTAAACAGTGAATGGGTTACCACTGAGATCAAGGAAGAAATCAAACACTTCATGGAAGAAAATGGAAATGAACAGACAACAACCCATAATCTATGGGACACAGTGAAAGCAGTCCTGAGAGGAAAATTCATAGCATTACAGCCCTATCTCAAGAAACAAAAAAAAGATCTAATGACCCATTTAACACAACAACTAAAAGAACTGGAACGAGAATAGCAAGAAAAGCCCCGAGGAAGTAGAAGGAAGGAAATAATAATGATCAGAGCAGAAATTAATGACATAGAGACTAAAAGAACAATACAAAAAAATCAATGAAACCAAGAGCTGGTTCTTTGAAAAGATAATTAGGATTGATGCACCTTTAGCCAAACTCCTCAAGAAACAATGAGAGGGGGCCAAATAAATAAAATCAGAAATGAAAGAGGCTATATTCCAACTGACACAACAGAAATACAAAGGATTGTAAGATAATATTATGAGAAACTATATGCCAACAAATTGGACAACTTGAGTGAAATGGACAAATTCCTAGAAGTCTACAACCTCCCAAAGCTGAATGAAGAAGAGACAGAAAACCTGAATATGGTGATAACAGCTAACAAAATTGAAGCAGTAATCAAAACACTCCCAGCAAACAAAAGCCCTGGACCAGATGGATTTAAGGGGAGTTTTACCAAACATTCAAAGAAGAATTAACACTTATTCTATTCAAACTATTCTAGAAAATTAAAGAGGAGTGAAAACTCCCAAACTCTTTTTATGAGGCCAGCATCATCCTAATCCCAAAACCAGATAAAGACACTACAAAGAAAGAAATTTACTGGCCAACATCCCTGTTGAACATAGATGCTAAAATCCTCACTAAAATACTAGCAAACCAGATCCAACAATACATTAAGAAGATCATACAACATGACCGACTGGGATTTACTCTGGGGATGCAAGGCTGGTAAAACATCCACAAAACAATAAATGTGATACATCACATAAACAAAATGAAGGACAAAAATCATATGATCATCTCAATAGATGCAGGAAAATCATTCAACAAAATCCAGCATCCATTTCTGATAAAAACTCTCAGCAAAGTGGGAATAGAGTCATCATACCTCAACTTAATAAACACCATATATCCTACAGCCTATATCATACTCAGTGATCAAAAACTAAAAGCATTTCTCTTATAGGGACAAGACAGGGATGTCCACTTTCACCACTCTTATTCAACATAGTACTGGAAGTCCTTGCCACAGCGATCAGACAGGAAGAAAACATAAAAGGTATCCAAATAGGAAAGGAGGTAGTAAAACTGTCATTATATGCAGATGACATGATACTGTACATAGAAAATCCTAAAAACTCCATCAAAGTACTACTAGGTTTGATAAACGAATTTGGCAAGGTAGCTGGATACAAAATCAACATCCAGAAAATCAATGGCATTCTTATACACCGACAGTGAACTTTCAGAGAGAGAAACTAAAAAAACAATACCATTTACCATTGCAACTAAAAAAATGAGATACCTAGCTATAAACTTAACCAAGGATATAAAAACCTGTACTCAGAAAACTATGGGACACTGACAAAAGAAATAGAGGAAGATTTAAAGAAGTGTTAGAATGTATCATCCTCATGGATTAGAAGAATTAATATCATTAAAATATACATACTACACAAAGCAATTTATAGATTCTATGCAATTCCTATGAAAATACCAACAGCATATTTCACAGATCTAGAACAAAGATTTCTAAAATTTATATGGAACCAAAATGGACCCAGAGGAGCTGCAGCGATCTTGAGAAAAAAATAAGAGTGGGAGGGATCACATTACTGGACATCAAACTGTACTACAAAGCCATTGTAATGAAAACTGCCTGGTATTGGTACAAGAACAGACATATAGATCAATGGAGCAGAACAGAGATCCCAGAAATAGACCCATGCCTTATGGTCAGTTAATATTTGACAAAGGAGGCAAGAACATACAATGGAGTAAAGACAGTCTCTTCAATAAGTGGTGCCTGGAAAACTGGACAGATACATGCAATAAAAAAATCAAACTAGACCACCAACTTTCACCATACACAAAAATAAACTCAAAATGGATAAAAGACTTAAATGTAAGTCATGAAACCATAACAATCCTGGAATAAAACATAGGCAGTAAAGTCCCAGACATCCCAATTAGTGGAATTTTCACTGATACATCTCCTAGGGCAAGAGAAACAAAAGAAAAAGTAAACATATGGGACTACATCAAACTAAAAAGCTTCTGCACAGCAAAAGAAAACAGCCTCAAAATACAAAAGAACCCTCTGGTCTGGGAAAACATATTTTCCAAGGATGTATCTGATAAGGGGCTAATTTCCAAAGTATATAAAGAACTCATACTACGCAGCAAGAGGAAGACAGACAACCCAATTAAGAAATGGGCAAAATACTTGAATAGACACTTCTCCAAAGAGGACATACAGATGGCCAAGAGACATATGAGGAAATGCTCAACATCGCTAATCATCAGAGACATTCAAATTAAAACCACAATGAGATATTACTTCACACCTGTAAGAATAGCTACCATCAATAAATCAACAAAGGACATGTGCTGGTGAGAATGTGGAGAAAGGGGAACCCTAGTACACTGCTGGTGGGAATGCAGACTGGTGCAACCACTATGGAAAACAGTATGAAAGTTCCTCAAACAATTAAAAATGGAGCTGACTTTTGACCCAGTGATTCCACTCCTAGGAATATATCCTAAGAATCCTGAAACACTAATCAGAAAGAATATATGCACCCCTATGTTCATAGCAGCACAATTTACAATAGCTAAGATCTGGAAACAGCCCAAGTGCCCATCAGTAGATGAGTGGATACAAAAGCTGTGGGACATATACACCATGGACTACTGTGCAGCTGTAAAGAAGAAGGACCTCGTACCCTTTGGGACAGCATGGATGGACCTGGAAAATATTATGCTAAGTGAAATAAGCCAGGCAGAGAAAGACAAACTTCACATGATGTCCCTTCTATGTGGAATCTAAAGAACTTCAGCCCAGCCGGGCGTGGCTCAGCTGTTGAGCAACGACCTAGGATCCAGGCGATCAGGGTTTGATTCCTGGCTATGGCACATGCCCGGGTTTCATGCTAGCCTACCAGTGACTCTGTCATCATTGATGTTTCTATCTCTCTCTCTCCCTCTCCTTTCCTCTCTCTGAGATCAATAAAGATATTAAAAAAAAAAGAAAAAAAAAAGAACTTCATAATTCTATGAACAGAATAGATTCAATGACATGGAAGCATAGATCAGACTCAGGAATGTCAGAGGGATGGAGGAGGGCAGGAGGGTGGAGGGGGAGAGATGAACCAAAGAATTTACATGCATATATGCACAACTCAAGGACATGGACAGTGGTTGGGAGAGGGCCTGGGGAGGGGGATTGGATGGGGTGGAATGAGTCATTGGGGAGAAAAAGGGACATCTGTAATATTTTAATCAAAAAAATTTAAAAAAAAATCAAACCTTTTGAACTTACAGTTTAACCTATAGGATATATGCTTATTTGCACAAAGGTACCTTTGCAAAAGTGTTCATTACAGCATTGCATTAACATCAAAATTTTACATTTTGAGAATGGTTCAATAAGTTATCATCATAAATGAGGAGACTGGATCAAGATGACAGCCCATGTTCTTCTTTTTCCACAGATCACAACAATGATAGAAAACATTTATTTAAGACACTAAATCTATAATATCCAGGAAAATGGGAATGCCCCATTGAACAAGAATTTCTGCACAATTGTTGAATTGTATTAAATGAGAAAAGCAACTTTAAAAAAAAATATCCAATTCATGCAAAAAGGTATATATGTGTGTCTTGTACTTATATATTTGACAAAGAGATTGTTTGGAGTATATAGACCAAACTGTTGACAGTTGCTTCTAGAGAGGGCACTGCATTAAGGTGTGAGAGGTGGGTAAACGAAGACCCCCCCTTTTTTTTTTAACAAATGTAGGAAGAAAATTAGAAGGTTGATAGAAGTGAGAAGTGCAGAAGCTTTGCTTACTTTGAACTCACTTGCTAGTGTCTTGCACCGCATATGTTCTTTCCAATAGCCCTTGGGAAACCAGGCTGAATGGGGAGGGAAGCCTCATTGTGGGTCACCTACACCAGCATCCCCTCCTGCAGAGTTGTATCTTTGGCAAGCTGCCTTTCTTTTTGTACAGGTATTTCCAACTCCTTCCCCCACCTCTTTTGGCTTCAACTCTGGTCAGTTCCCAAATTTGTTTTCTCATGTGGACCTGTCTGTGTGCTAACATTTCCAGCTGTCTCCTGACTGTTTACATTAATTTAAGCACCTCCATTCTTCGGCATTCTTAATGGTTTGTGTTCAGTAGTTGTAGGGAATAAAACATAGAGAAATAGGAGATGAAGATGGAAATTATATTTTTCCTAATTGAATGCGCTTGAAAATATCTCTAAATGGAAATGAAGAAAGTTTTTGATTCCTTATATTGAGATGTGAATAGCCTGTATATTCCAGTCAAGTAAAGGACTTTGAGTGTTTCTTAGGATTTAGGAATTTAAAGCTTACTCTGTTCTGTGGAATCTGAGTTTCATCAAAATAGTTTGGGGGAGTTAAAAAAAGAGTTTGGGAGAATTATCATTCTGGTTCTCTCATTAGCAAAAAGATTTTCCAGCAGGATAGGTGATTGGGAAGCTAGGCCATAAGAATCCTATCTGTTGTTAGTAGGATGAGATAGAAACTTGCAGGAAAACCACAGGAGAACATTATTTGTAGGCAAAACTTTTAAAAATAGCATAGCCTTCATACCCATTCACTACACTTGGTATTGAGGACAAGATATTAATAGTTCCTGCCTTCAAGGTGCTTATAGCTGACCACTGAATCCAGCTGTATAGTCAGTCATTGTGTAATTTGCAAACTTTATTTATTCTGTCCTCTCATATATGACATTTTCTCTCTGTGCACAGATACTAATTATGTGGTACTTCTGTTTTTTCCTTTTCTTTCAGGCAAAAATAGACCTCTTATTAGTTGGAGATGTCACTGTTCAGTACCTGGCTGATACTGTGCAGAAATTGTTTTCAAATATAGCAAAAGTCACCATAACCATTAGTGACATGAAGAAGGCAGTGGCATTTCTGGATGAGTGCACATTCAATGTGTTTTTCCTGAAGATGACTTTACCAACTGTCAAGGAGCTGGAAGCTGTCAAATTAATTAGGTAAATTCCAAAAACTTTGACTCTATACTTTTAGGATAGTTTTTAATAAAACCTATTTCTAGCCCAGCCTGTGTGGCTCAGTTGTTTAAGCATTGTCCCATGCACCAGGAAGTCACAGGTTTGATTCCCAGTGAGGGCGCATGCCCAGGTTGTGGGTTTGATACCTAGTATGGGGCATGCAGGAGGCAGCTGATTGATGTTTCTCTCTTGCCCTCTCCCTTTCTCTCTTTGAAATCAATAAAAACATATTTTTAAAAAACCTTATTTCTATAAAAATCCTTAATAGATGATACTATTTCTGCTTTAATTTTTAAGATGAATGTTTTTGTGGGCAGAATCTACATACATGTTATTTTTATTGCCACTTTGACATACTATTGTAAAAATTATTTTAACTTAAAAAGTAATAAGTATGGGTGAAAATGTAAGAATTAATTGTTCATAGAAGTTTATTTGGTATATAATGCTTACCTTAATCCCATAGGGACTCCTTTTTAATAACTATGTCATTAAAATGGCAAATCTTTTCAGAGTTCATAAATTGTTATAGCAGATGGTGAGGCAGGTGAGCACTCTTAGCTCCCTGGCATGCTGGCTGTGGACTGAAGGTGTTTCTCTTAAAAGATATCGTAATGTGAAAGAGCCTTGAAGCTCTCTGGATCCACTGAGTCCACATCAATATCAACTACAAGATTCTTGTTTCATCTTGTAGCTCCATAGAAGTTCTGTTTGAGCCCCTCCACTCTCAAGATATGGAGTCTAGTGGTGTGAAAGTTAGGTTCTTCCTTGCCTCACTATCTAGGATTTTGAGCCGTTTAGGATGTTTTAAAACAAGGTTAGGTCAGAACAAATTTGTTCACCTTTTATATGGAAACTTAATAGAGAAAGTATAATTATAGATAATATTTCAAATATATAAGGACTCTTCAGAATTATAGGACAGGCCTTTCTAGACTAAAGGAGAAAGTTCAGGGACAATATTGTGATCCCCAGATCAAAAGGAGTGAGCATATTATGTTAGCAGAAAAGAAAGTTGGAATGACAAGAAGCCAAAGACACTGAGTTACTTGTTAAAGAGAAATAAACAGACAGACAGACATTATTCCTGGAGTTTCTTAGAACAGTTGGCCTTCTGAATTTCTTTTGGCTTTCTACTGGAATATGAACCCTAGACAAACAAGCAAACTACCTCAAAGTGGATTTCACTTTCAAAACATGTTATGAACTGTCTTCCTTCTGAAGATATGACTATCTTAAAAAAAACTCCTGTAGACAGAGTCCCCCTGTTTGGGAACTCATAATAATATATCATTTATATAGTATTAAAAAAAATTTATAACAGCTTTATTAGGGAGGTAGAGCAGGGTTTCATCATTCCTACTTGACAGATTAGAAAACTGAGGCTGAGGTGACTTGCCTGAGACCACATGGGCTTGTTTTCACACAACTCAGACCAGAACTCTTTACTTTTTCCTTATTGTTCTTTCTGAAGGTTGATAATTAGTTGTCTTCTGTATTGAAGCCCCTTCATTTATACCTCTGAGATTCAGTATATGCCAAACTTAGTATAAACTAAATACACATATGGTTTGGGAAGAGCATTTGAACAAATTAGTATGGCTGATCTCTCTTCATTCCAGAGTACGATCCTCACTGTGCCTCTCCAAATGTAGTGAAGGCTTTGTATTTGCTCATTATTGAAGCTACATTTTGAATAGGATAAGAATAGAGTTCTATTTAAGAACAAGCTTAATGTCTAGTTACAGTAATTAAAAACCAGGAGGTTTGAGAAGAGAACTTTCTATCTGATATTCACCTCTCTGGATTCTCCCCACTCTTGCTTCTTTGCTCTAAATATCATAGCTTAACATTTCTTAGCAAGAAAAAGAAGGTAGATAAAGGTACTAAATGTACAGGCATGCATATGGTAGTTCTACTGTTTTGCTGTAAAAGCATTTGTTTAAAAAGAAAAAAATGGATAATTTGTAGAATACACCAGGATTTGGTTTTCTTGTCTTTTGTTACACTATTCTCAATACTTAGTATACATAGGTCTTGAGTAACAGCAGGTATTCAGTACCTTGCTATAGGTGTAAATGAGTGTATGGATGAGTGTGTGAAATGCCATTTTAGGGCAGAAAATTAGTTCTAGCTTTTGTGTTCCTTTCTGAAAAAGAGACAATCCTTTCTTCATAGAAGCTTTGGCTTTCATGAGACCTGAGAGGCAAGAAATATCTAAAGTTTCCTTTCTTGCCCTCAGAACTGTTATGAGTTTATGATTTATGAATTATTTAAACCCTTGTACAGAATGTTTGTATTTTTGGATCTATAGATTTTCTTAGAGTAATAAGTCCTATAAACATAATGCTGCATTTATAAGGCATTTAAACCTTCATCTTTCCTAAAACACTAACATTTAGTGACTAAACCAAAATGAAGAGTCTTGGTTTAGCTTTTCTTCTGATGTATTTTAGACTTTTTTCTCCCTTAGATCTTTGTTGTTGTTTTATAATATCTCAAAATATAGATAGGTCCAGGAAAATATACAACTATTTACCTTACTCTTCTCTCTTTTGGCACTTTATGTGCCTCACCAGTGACTGAGGAACGTACTATAGGGTAGAAGTGTCCAAACTTATTTTAAGTGTTAAAGCACATGATCATTTTAGAATAAAACATAAACAGCCTCCTTAAAAAGATTCCTAAATTTGTTTTTATTAAAAAGAATATGTTTTCAGCTTAGACCTAATCATTGATCAATTTTAATCATTCATAAAAATATTGGTACTCTACAGACTGACATTTTCAAGAGTTATGGTACATCTCAGTTATAGGTTAACATTTGTAGTAGACACCCTAATTACATTTCATTTTATGAATACATTTTTTTGAGCCAGATGAACTCAAACATTACCCAGTGGTAAAATATTTTAAGATAGCCTTAGGATTCATATGGTTGGCTCCCGAATTCTGGAGATATTTGACTCTTGGCTTAGATCAGTTTTCAAAACTGAGGCACATGCACAGAGCAGGTACTGGATAAGTCAGACACATTGCAACACTTTATCTTCCAAAGGCAGGTACAGAAAACTAAAATATGTTTCAAACTAATCAACATTGATTAGATCCTGTCAGAAACTGATAATTTTCCAATTTATGAAATGTCTCTGCTGTTATTAAAATTCTGTGATTCTCATGAGCTCAGAGCAGTTCAGCAGTCGGAAAGGAATGCAGAATGTGGCTCCCCTTGCTCAGTCTAAAAATCGAGGAAGTTGTTGTGTTATGTCTCTGATTCCCAAACACCCTGGACTTGACAATGCAATTCAGTAAATTATATTAGCAAGTTACATGACCTGGTCCCTGGATATTTGACAATAAACACAATAAAAACAAGATATATAAGTAGTTTTAGTAAAAACATTATTCTATAAATTGATGGTGGATATAATTGGAACTGAGGAAAATTCTGTACCTTTATCATTTCTAGCATCAAGTTATGGGGCGAACCTAACTAAGAAAGTTCACAGGAGGAACTCTTCTAATGATCAGCATAGTGGGAGCAGGGCATACCATCCTTCAGTGTTGACCAGAATAAACTCTAAGAACTTTACTACATTTTATTGCAGGGGCCCTATTAGTAGCAAATGAACTCAGTGTTTTCAAATTTATAGTAAAACCCTCAATTTTCTTATGGAAAATCATTGTTTTAATTAATTAATTAACAAAGAACATTATTTGTTATGTATCAAATAGGCCACACCAGGTTAGTCTGGCTGCATTGGGCCATGGAGAGCATACTAGGTAACTGTATTCAAGAAGGCCACAACCCAAAAGTGATATTGGCTTTTGTTCTTGAAATTCTTGTGGCTCTAAAGGAAGCAAGCTTAGCAATTTTTTCCAGTTTCATAAGGATTTATAAGAACCTTTTGATCCTCTTATTAGATGATAGATTTCAAAGGTTCTTTGGTCAGCAAAGTATACAAATTAGCCTATAAGACTTTATATGATTTTTTTTTTCTTCCAACTACTAGGTACCAGACCTGGGGATGGAAGCAACACTGGGGATGACACTGCTGCAGTTTGAGCTGTCCAATTCCAGACTACTAGAGACAGGCATAAAATGGACACTAGAATATCAACATCCAATTTTGTATGTGGAGTATAGTATCAGGAATGGTCATGGCATTTAAACAGTATATTCTGTGAAACATGAGGAGAAATGATTACAGATTTTTAAAACCGAAGACACTTCATTTGAGAAGGTACTCAGAAAGCTCTCAGAACCTGCAATTTGGTTTTGGAATATGGAAGAAGTGGTATTAGTTGGGATGTTTCTTTTACAGAATATTCATTTATTAGAAAAATGACCTTTTAAAAATCTTTTTTTGGTGATGCTGGAAACTAGAAACTCTATCCTTTTGTAGAGATTGTGAATGGGCAGCTGAGACTAAGGCCAGAGCTTTGGATTCTGGGAACTCTATTAACTGCTGACGTTCTGTACAGTTTTATAATTAGGGTTTCACAGGGATGGGAAGTGTTTGGGTTGGTAATTGATTCTGTGCTAATGACATAAATCTAGGGATTCCAATTCTGTCTGATGTAAAGCTTGAAATTTGAAAGTCATCAGGGAATATAAATCTGTATATCCAAACCTAACCTATTTTTGTGTCAGTAAAATCAATTTATAAAATATAAAAAAAATAGATGCAGGATTTGTTTCTAACAGAAAAAAAAAATCTGCCTTTAAAAATTCTCTAATTCTAGGGTATTTTAATTTATGGTAACTTACTTTTTTGTGAATCTGGAAAGCATTTTTTAATTTAAAAACTTGGACTAAATTACAGAATATGTTTATTTTAGTGGTAATATCTGTGGAGCCCATTTTCCCCTTCCACCTCTCTTTCCTCATCCTGTTATTCATACCTTCATTATACCCCACACTTTATCATCACGTAAAAACTATATTTGAAATGCTTACATTATGGCAAGCATCATTCTTT